AATGACTGTAAATGTACTAAAAGAGTTTAGAGTGCACAAATAAACTCTTGAAAGAATTCCAAGAAAAAACAAAGAAGGAGCTACTGAAATATATTACTCAATATAGGATAGGTCCTCAATACATATTGAAGGTGGAATTCAAGAAAGATAAATTCTGGGGGAAAAAGTGCCTGAAATATTAGAAATGAAAAATCCAGTAAGCCAAATAAAAAGCTCCATGAACAACCTCATCAATAGAATCAATCAAGGAGGAAACAGAATATCCAGGCTTAAAGACAATGTAAAGGAACTGAAATATTCAAACAATGACAAGGACAATTAATAAGAAAAAACAATGGAACATTTAAGATCCATGGGACACCATGAAAAGACAATCTATGGGCATAAAAGAAGAATTTCATGCTAAAGGCAGAGAAAAATATTTTCAAGAAAATCACAGCAGAAAATGCCCCAAATCCAAGGAAGGTGCTCATCCAAGTATAAGAGGTATTTTGACACCAAATATACAAGACCCTAGAGGAACATCCCCGTGATCTAGTATAGTTAAAATACTAAAAATACAGAACAAAGAAAGTACATTGAAAGCTGCAAGAGAAAAACAAAGTCACTTACAAAAGGGCAAGACCATCAACAAAAACTTTAAAAGCCATGAGGACTCAGAATGATTATTACAAGCTCTAAAAGAGAACAACTGCCATCCTAGACTATTACATCCAGCAAAACTATCTGTCATAATCAAAAGAGAAAGAAAAACTTTCCATGATAAAGGCAGGCTAAAGGAATTGATGACCACTAAACCAGATCTACAGAAAATACTTGAATCTTTCCACCTGACAAGAAAGATAAACACATCTATAAAGCCATATGAAAGAATAAACCACACTAGAATAGAAATACACTAATAATAATATTAAATAATTAAATAATAAATAAAACACAATAAAATAAGAATAGAAAAATGTAAAATATAATAAAACTAACAAAATAACAGAAATTAACAAATACTTTTCAGTGATAACTCTCAATATCAATAACTATCAATTCTTAAATCCAAAGCCAATGCTAAAAGATTGTATTTAAAAGGGAAATTTACATATGGATATATAACACCTTGAACCCCAAATTTGCATTTGTATTAATTAAATAAAATCAACGTTGGGTCAGGAGGCAGAGTTAGCAACTAGTTGACAGAAAATAATCAGAGAGAGTCAGAGGACCTCTGGAATATGGATAGAGAGACACACAGGAAGTAGTGGGGAGGTACTGAGTGTAGGATCTTTTTTGGCTTGGTAGAGCAGAAGAACTGCACTCTTTCTGAGTCTTGGTAAGGAGGTAAATTCAGCTAGTTGCTCCTCAACCTCTCTGAGCTAGCAGTGTTTAGCCCTAGCCTCTGACTACCGAGTCTTATTGATAAATAGAATGATAGAGATTTAGTTCAAGCTCCATTTGGTGGCAGGGGCAAGAGGCAGATCCTGCGGGATGTAAAGGCTACCAGAGAAGCAAGCCAGTAACTGCTGAGCCGCAATTATTGGCTGAAAGAGAAGTAGATTCAGGTGCAGCTGCTGTGCCAGAAATAAAAAACAACAGTGAAGCTTTGTGGTTTTGTGGGATTCTTTGGGAGTAGGGGGTGTCTCTGACTCTAGCCTACCCTCGGGACCCTTTTCCTCCTATTGGGTTGCCTCATCCAGTCTTGATAGGAGGGTTTGTACCTAGTCTTATTGGAACTTGTTATGCCATGTTTGGTTGATATCTCTGGAGTCCTGCTCTTCTCTGAAGGGAAACAGGAGAAGAAATGAATCTGGGATGGGGTGGGGGTGGGGGAATGGGACTGCAGTCAGGATCTAATGTTTGAGAAAAGAATAAATAAAATGAATAAATAGAACTCTCGGATGTGATGAAGAAAGCAAGAGAGAGTAGATAAACAATAAAGACATAGACTTTCTTCAATAAAATTATAACAGAAAATATCCCAAATCTAGAGAAAGAAATAAACATTCAAACATAGCATTTAGACCCTCAAATAGACATGACCAGAAAAAAACAAAAACAAAAAACCAAAAACCTGTCCACAAATTTTCCTCCAAAACTAAAATAATGTATCTTAAAATAAACCTAACCAAGGAATTGAAAGACCTCTACAATGAAAACTTTAAAACACCAAATACAAAAATTAAAGACATCTGAAAATAGAAAGACATCCCTTGTTCGTGGATTGGAAGAATCAATATTGTAAAAATGTCATTATCACCAAAAGCAATCTATTCAATGCAATCTGCATCAAAATTATAATGGCATTGTTTACAGGAGGAAAAAAAACAATCATAAAATTGATATAGAAGGACAAAAGGCAAGCTATAGCTCAATAGAAAGAGTAGTGCTGAAGGTGTCACAACTCCCAATCTCAAATTATACTAAAGAGCCACAGTAAGTAGCAACAACAAAAATCACAGTACTGGTACAAACTAGGTCTGTAGATCAGTGAAACTGAATAGAGGACACAAAAATCAACTCTCACAGGCAAAGCCACATATGCCCTAGGTAGACTCCTATTGCTGTGATGAAACAACATGACCAAACGCAAATTGGGACAGAAAAGATTCATTTCAGCTTACAACTTATAGATCATCATTCAGGGAAGCCAGGGAAGGAACTCAAGGCAGGAACCCAGAGGCAGGAACTGAACCTGTGACCATGAAGGAACACTATGTACTGGCTTGTTCAGCTTGGTTGTTTGTTTTGTTTTGTTTTGTTTTTATACAACCCAAACCAACCTGTCAAGAGGTGAAGAGAGTGCACCACCCACAGTGTTCTGGACCCTTCTATATCAATCATCAACTTGAAAATACCATACAAGTGTGTTTTCAGACACATCTACTTAAATTATTTTCTCAATTCAGAATTCCTCTTCTAAAATGACTTTAGCTTGTCTCAAATTGACAAAAAATTAACAAGCACTGCATGGATTAGAGAAAAGATAGTCCTTTTAACAAACTATGCTAGGAAAATGGAATTTCTACATGAGAATGAAACTAAACCCGTATCTCTCAATTTGCCCAAACACCCATCTAAAATGAATCAAACACCTTAATTACTGTAAGGCCTGAAACTTTGAAATTGCTAGAGAAACACATAGAAAAAAACACTTTATGGAGTAAGTGGAGGCAAGGATTTTCTGACTAGAACCCCAATGACACAAGAAATAACCCCAAGAACTGACAAATGAAATGAAGATTCTTCTATACAGTAAAGTAAAGATATCTCCAGAATCAAGAGACAGTGTACAGAAGGGTAATGAAGAAATACTACCAACTATACATCCCACGGGAGTTAGCACCTACCTTATAAATCCTCTAGTCAACAAATGATATAATGAACTGAATAGACAGTTTTCAAAAGAAGAAAGGCAAATGGCCAATAAATACTTGAAAAGGAGTTCAACAACCTTAGCCATTGGAAATGCAAATGAGAACTTCTTTAAGATTGGTTCATCCCAGACAGACTGACTTTCATCCTGAAAAGTAATGCTGATAGGACATGGGCAAACAGAAGCCCTTATACACTGTGGTTAAGATTGTAAACTTGTGTATTCCCACTAAGAAAATCAGTATGAAGGGCCCTCAAACAATGCCCAGCATAAATAACCCAGCTATACTACTCATGAATACACCAAGTCAACATACCACAAAGATACTTGCACATCTACAATATAGCTGCACTGTTCACAATAACCAAAAGATAAAATCAGCCTAGATGTCCATCAAGTGATGAATGGTTAAAGAAAATGAAATTGTGGTAAATATGTACAATACAATTTTCTCTTTAGCCATAAAGAAAAATGGAATTATGACATTTTCAAGAAAATGGATACAACTGGAAAACATCACATTAAATAAAATAAGTCACATTCAGAAATATCATATTTTCATGCAGAACCTAAATTTAAAATTACATATGTGTACAGGTGTTTGTGTGTATGTGTTTGTTTATATGTGTATATATTTCCCAATTACATAGTTTTTTTTTTAATTTAAAACTTATTTAAATTCTACTGTACTTAGATTGTTGTTTTCTACTGAAGTTAAAAACAAGAATGTGGCCAGGCAGTGGTGGCGCACGCCTTTAATCCCAGCACTTGGGAAGCAGAGGCAGGCGGATCTCTGTGAGTTCGAGGCCTGGTCTCCAAAGCAAGTTCCAGGAAAGGTGCAAAGCTACACAGAGAAACCTTGTCTCAAAAAACCAAAAAAAAAAAAAAAAACAAGAATGTGGGTCTGTTATATATAGTAAGAAAGAAAAATGGTTGCTGAAAATAGAACTAAGACATAAAAGTGTTTATGTTCTTTACACATAGTTTTAATGGAACATCTATATTAGCCTGAACAGGGTAAGAGTAGATGAGGAAGTGGAGGAGTATGATTTTGTCTGAACTGAGAACTATGTATTTACCATTTTACTATAATACACTCAAATATGCAGCATTTAGGAGTACCCTGCACTCTTGAACCCATTTTCAAAACAAAATAGGCTTAACAGTCTTCATATAAATAGTAAGGAAATATTACATAGACACTGGTATAAAATTTTGCTCTAAGAACTCATCACCATAAGTAGACGATAGCTTACTTTAAGTCTGTGTGCCCTCCCAGAGACAAATGTGGAAGAACCTAAAGGGTAGTTAGTGTCATGATTTCCTGAATACAAATACACCTTGGAACTGTTCATGAATGATGAAGCTTTGTGATTTGAACAGGAAATTCTGAGTATAAAAGGATGCCTAAGAGGTCACTCACTCTCTACTTCTCAATGAGTCTAAAAAGCTGTCCTGGGAAAGTCACTGTAAGCATTATGGAAAACGAAGATGAAAAGTAAAAGCAGCAGAAATAATGAATATTAGGCTATCACCTTTCTACTTAAACCACTTACATGTATATTTTAGCGCAAGGAAAGGTATTTATAGCGTGAATCTATCTTCCCATCAGAAATGTAAAGTCATATCTACTTACCAATCCAACACAGTTGCTTAAAGCCACTTTAGTTGTGCTGCGTTGATCGTGCAAGTATCCCGTGTAGTGACAGTTGTCTAAGAAATCATGTTTCCACTGGGGTCCATCTTTCCCCCAGTATTCTACTGTAAAGTGTTTAGACACAAAATCTGTATTGAGAGTCAAGTTTAGGTGAAAGTGCTTGCCATAGGCTGAAAGTTTAAAAAATAATTTAGACACCGCCTGCTGGGGCTCAATAAGGTCCATACTTCGTCTTCTCCTTGAGTGCTTATCATCTTTCACAGTAAAGCTGAGAAAAGCTCCATTTTGATCAACTCTTATTGGAATAGTTAGCTGGTAGTGTTCAAGGTAAGTCAGGAATTCCTCTTTGTAGTCACAAGGCAGAGAATCCAGAAAAGCACATGGAAGAAAAGAAAATTTAACAGACCAAAGAAGTAGCAATATAAATAATGATGTCAATTAAAACTATACATCATTATATGTGAGGTGTGGATGAAAATTTTATATTAAACAAAATGAAAGAGTAAAGGCATACAATTGAAAGATTAAGTTTCAATTGTTTAATTTCTCAAAACAGTATTATTTAAAAAAAAAATTATTTGTGAAGGACTAACTAGTCTTCTTTCCTAAATTTAATTTTTAACATATGGAGTTTAAAAGTTCTTCTAGAAGTATGAAAATCTTACATGAAAATGAGACAAAAAGCACATATACATTTAAAAAAATGTTTAATTCAGATAAAGTTAGTTTTGTAAGCTATCCAAAAACATACATGGAGAATCTCTACAGCTCTGAAGAAACTATCTTCAAAGAAGTAAATCATCACTAGGAATGCAAAAGGCCAGGGACACTTTAGAGGCCAATCTGACAGCTCCTCACAATGTTAAACATGAATTACCAGATCACTTAGATCTGAAAAAAAAACTAAAATCTAAAAGAAACAAAAACCCATTTCTGGGTAAAAATTTATGTGTGAATGTTCTTATCAGGCCTGTTCATCAGAGCCCAAGGAAAGAAAGAATGCAACTAAGTCCTCATCAGCTGATGAAGAAACAGACTGTGGTGAGCCAGGTAACACTATTCTCCAGGAGAAAGGAAAGCAGCAGTGATGTGGGCTGCAATTGCACCTGAATTAATCCCCTTTCACAGCAACTGCCTTCTCTCTTCTTCCTGCTTCTGTGTAGTCGTCACAAGAGGCCAATCTCTAGAGTTCAAAGTGGAGAGACTGCCTCGGAATAGGGAATTGGGGAGTAACTCTTACTGGGTAGAGGTTTTTTTGTTTTGTTTTGGTTAGTCTCTAAAAAAAAATATTACAATGCACTAAAGTTGATTATGGTAATGTTGTACAGCTCTAAAACCTACTAAAAACCATTGAGATGTATACTTTAATAGATGTGTTATTTGTATGTTATATCTCAATAAAATTTTAACAATCAAGTGTAGAAAAAATTAGAGGGCTACTATTTTTTTCTTTTTCTTTTTTTCTTTTTTTTCCTTTTTTTTTTTTTTTTGGTTTTTCGAGACAAGGTTTCTCTGTGGAGCTTTGCGCTTTTCCTGGATCTCGCTCTGTAGACCAGGCTGGCCTCGAACTCACAAAGATCCGCCTGCCTCTGCCTCCCAAGTGCTGGGATTAAAGGCGTGCGCCACCACCGCCCGGCTCTATTTTTTCTTTTTATTTATTTTGTTATCTTTTATTTCATAGGCATAAGCATTTTATCTGCATGTATGTATTACACACCATGTACACGTCCAGTTTCCATGGAGGCCAGAGGGCATAAGAACCAGTGAAAGTAGAGTTTCAGATAGATGTAAGCAGTCATGTGGGTGCTTGTAGTGAGCACGGATCCTCTACATGAGCAGTGTTCTGTATTACCACTGAGCCTTCTCTGCAGCCCCATGATTTTCTTAGATTAGTAACCCATCTCTTCTTAGCCAAACCTTCATTCAGTTAGGTTTACCACTAGGAGAAACCAGTTATCATCCCATTGTCTCACTGCCACACATGGAGTTTACTCCATAAACATAAGGTCGAATAAAACTATAACCAGGGCGGGTGGTGGTGGTGGTGGTGGTGCATGCCTTCAATCCCAGCACTGGGGACGCAGAGCCAGGCGGATCTCTGTGAGTTCGAGGCCAGCCTGGGCTACCAAGTGAGTTCCAGGAAAGACCACAGAGCTACACAGAGAAACCCTGTCTCGAAAAAACAAAAAAAACAAAAAAAAACAAACAAAAAAAAAAAAAAAACACGAAAATACTGTAACCAGTGGAAATAATTTAAAATGTGTTGATTCACTTTTTATAAATAAGAGTCAATTAAATACTATGGTTTTGTTGATCAACATTCAGAGGTATACTCTTCACACACAGACTTCCAAATATGTACCAGTCTGTAACACCTTCAGCAGCACCAAAAAAATTATTTGTTACTGGGTATTCATGGGAGGAAAATATAAAAGGCTTGGCTTTCAATAACTCTATGAGGAATGGACTGGTCCATGAACTACAATATGACATTTCCTCCTGGGACTTTCTTTATTGAGGTCATTTCTATGATATAAAGTTCAATTGTCTAAATTAAAATTGTAAGAATGAGAATCCTTATGATTGGAAAGTATTTTGTTGTTATTTTTGTATTTTAAATGAAGGGTTCATGTTTAAAAGGGTCTGTATCAAAGTTTATCTGGTTTCTTCATCTTCTACAACATAAACATTTGGTTTCTGTTGGAAAATGACCCTAACCAGGAATGAGTCTATTAAATGTAGAAGATAAGAAAAGCAGCAGCTTAGAGTGCATCATTTTCTAAGACCAGTCAACTCTAAGACCCACTCAAGAATTAGCTCCAAAGGACAACTTAAACATCCTCTTAGCACCTTTGTTTCTGTCCATCTGACTAATATTCCCAAGAAACCATTTACCAAACTATAGAGAGAGAGTTTTCATTTTGTGATAATTTCTATCAAATTTCAAAATCAGATATCCTACCTTGAGAACTGTATGAAAGTCTGTGGTCACTATAAAATTCCGAAGAAGCCATGATGAGGCTCAAAATCCAAGTCAACGTTTTCCACGAAATTTCCATAATTTGGAAAACTGAATGATATTTTGGAGGGCTACCTATGAGCTAGAGAGTCAATATCATACCAATATCGAAGCATAACAATTTTAATTCCTTAAATCCTCTTGCAAATGAGTTATTAGATGCTTCACTGTTTAACAGGTACTTTTCCCCAACATCTTGTACTTTCTTCTATGTCTGGATTCATTTTCTCGATCCAAAATGAAGAGAATAATGATGATAAAATTTTTCATAAGCAAAGCTCAGAGTGATGGGTCACTTCAGTATGGTCATTCTTTAACCTAGAGGGGAAAATGTGAGTCAACTGAAAAAATATCATGAATGGACATATTTACTACAGATTAATGAATATTTGCCAAAGGACATAAATTCAAAAGAATTTAATATAGTTAAATACATAGTCAGAAACCTAAGTAGCTAGTAGGATAATTTTACAACTACTATAGTCAAGTAAATAACCTTGGAGCTTGAGATTATAGAATAGTTGTTGAGCTTGCACAATATTTTAGAAATCAAGAAAAAAAAGAAGAGGAGAGAGAAGGAGGAAGAGGGCATGGGAAGAAATCTGAATAGGAGACTAATAATTCTTTTAAAAATAATGAAACTCTGAAGATAACAATGGATATTCATGGTGTGCCAATCTCCTTTTAGTAAGATAAAAATGCAGAGAAACTGCATAATCTAAGTCCATCATATGTACTGAACAAACGGTATGTGATTTCATTCCTCAATAAAACATTTTAAGCCCATTCATATCCAAGACTGGTGTGCTGCTTCATGGGGTACCTATGTTTTGTTCTGACAAAGCAGATCCATAAACACACAGTGAGATTATCAACTGTCTATGAACACTTAGATAGTATCACAACCTAAACTTCTAAAAAATTGAACTGATTTATGGCAGAAAAGAATTTATCTAGAAGTCTTACATGACTTCTTGGGAAACTCAAATAAAGTAATTTCAACTCTGTATAATGTACTTGAAAAGATGTCTTTACAACCTTATTCCAAATAACACAACAGTTCTCAAGTCCTATCTCATATGTCTTACCTCTGACCAATATCATCACTCAGAATACATAATTCAAAATATTTACATGTGTGGCCACCTGGTTTCCAAACAGATAACACATCAGAAGAAAAAAATAACTAAAGGATTAAAAAGTAGCTCACTAACAGCAAAACAATAACTAAAAAGGACAAAAAGTTCAAATATAATTTTAGAACCCCACAGTAACACAGCTTGGGATAAAGGTAAACCATCCTTACGTAGTTCCTATTGTGTACACAACTATGCCATAGTTCACTATCTGATTTTTGGTAATATTATGTCTGATTTTGTAATAAAGGTTAAGTCACTGCTATAAGATATATTAGTACAAATAAGATAAAGAAATATGTAGAAGATATTAGAAAAAAATGTTATCTCAAATTCCTTACATAGTAGTCACATAATAAACATTTGCCGTATTTGTTGGCTTAAAAATAAATGAATAAATGAATCAATAGTAGATAAAATATAATCAGGCATATACAGGGGTAACTGGAAAATTAAGCTAGAAATATTTGTTATCATAACTACCTAAAATGCCTCACATTCATCTCTACAGATGTGACCAAACTGCTGACCTTTGGAAAGTTGGTTCACTAATCAGCAAATATTTTCTCACCATGTTTAAAAATGACATTTAACAACAGCAGAATACAGAAAAAATTAAAACACAATCCTTGCCCTTGATGAGGAATTCATAATCTAAGTAACAGAAAATTTCGAAATAGATGGTGATCAGATGAAGGAGATAACCTCTAAGTCAGTGAAGATAGACTACGGAACGCTAGTGCAAAACAGTATCTCAGGTAGGTCTTGGAAAGGAGTGGAATTTCACGAGTCAAACTGTTGGATATAATCATTACTTATATAAGGAATTTCACGCCAAAAGTCCTAGATGGCAAGCAGGCAGAGATGGTGGGAATAGGCACTAGTATTAGTAATATTAGAAATAGTAAATTTGGTTCCTGTGCAGAAGCCTAATTAGTAATATATAGAAAAGTAGTTTAAGGTCAAACTAAAAATAAAATATTTAAAATACAGATTTAATCTTCACTCACAAAATAATAGCACCCCTGTGGTAAGGCAGACTCAGCAATCCTGCCTCTTAACATCCACACTCTTTTGTCATTCTCATCCCTTGAATAATTTAATTCTACTCAAGAAAAATATCTCAATATTGAGAGGATGCCATTTCCATGATTCGATTACAAAAGATCTGGGCTTACAACTTGGTACCAGACTTTGTTTCATCGGCTTATATGAAGCGACTTAATACTTAGATGCTCGCAAAAAGGAAATTAGAGGAACCTCCACATAGTACTGGCAAGAAAGTGGGGCCCCATCCAATAGCAAGTTATTGAATCCTGCTCTAGAATCCATGAACTTAGAAGTCCATTCTTCCTCAGTGAGGGTTCCTGGAGAGAACTCAGTCTTCGCCAACACTTTGATAATAATGTCATCAGAAGGGCATAGTCACAGCTGGACTCACAGAAACTGGCATAGCCAATTTGTGCGAAATTAGTTACTCTGTGATAATTGTTATGCAGCAACTGATAAGTAATACAGCCACCGATTATCACTTGAAGAAGTTGGCATTCACTGAGATCAGGTGAGTCTAGATCTAGCAAGTGAGTCCACATTCATACACATAGCTTTCTGCCTCAGGATTCTAAGTTTTGTGTATTATATCACACTTCTAGCTTGAGGTACTCTTTTGAATATTCAGGAGTAGTTCTCTACAACTGTGCAGTACAATATGTTCGCAAATGGAATCCATTAGCATGAACAGTTTTTTTTTTTTTTTTTAAAGCAACTGACACAGTTGTTTTATGTCACAACTTCTATTTCTGTTTAGGCAAGACAAAACTTTATATTCTCAAGTTTAAAATCTGTAAAAATACTAAATGCCACTATTGTTCAATCATAATAAAGAAAAGAATCCAGAGTCTTGGTTTGCAACCTTCTCAGACATGGTTCTCTACTCCAGACTGAACCATGGAATATCAATGCATGATTACTGCTTCATGAACAGCACTCACCCTTAGTGTTTTCAAATCACTAGAATGTTTTCAGTAATAACATCTGACATCAAATGGGTCCTCCACTTCCTTTAATTGTAATCTTCTTTTAAGGAGGAATTTACAATTAGCACATTTGAGTTCATTTTCTAGCAGTCTTGAGGGATTTGTATTAGATCATCCACACCTTCCCCCTTGTTTTCTTGGACACTGAAACTAATGGCAAACTTACAATACAATGGGCTTGATTGAGAAAACAATTTTCCCCCTTGATCTTCAGTTTTGTAACTTCACTCCAACCCTTCCAAACACTAATCTATAAACATCTAAGTTGACTAAGCCAGTAGCATTAATAGGAAAAATAAGTAAACTAAAGTAACTTATTCCCTAAGAAGGGCATTGGTACTTCATAGAAAGAACAGGAGTTCCAGAATTAAACAGACTGGAGTTGCGGTCTTGCTCATCACTAGATACAGTATCTGGTACATGGGCACTCAATAAGTTAGGTGCCTTTCTCCTTCCCTCCTCACTATCTTTTAAACCTCCTATGCTCAGAGAACAAACTTGACACTGTATTGGTGCTCAGTTGGCCAGAGCTCAATTAAATTATAAGCGGCATATCTAAATCACTCTTAGTCACTCACACAGTCCAAGTGAATTGTGTTAAACCCCTTTCTGACACCTGCTGGGAAAGTTAATCTAGATGCCAGAATAAAGTATGTGTAGAAAAAAATAGTTTCCAAAGTTCAACTAACACTAAAATGCTAGATAACTGCTCAGAAATCTCAATGCATTAATAAACCTTTCAAGTTGTATAAGAACAGCAGCATTATTATGTTGTGGGAACACAAAGGCTGGCTACTGCTAGTTTGACTTCAAGTTACAAAACCTCCCTGGACCTGTTTTCTCAACTATAAAATTGAGACTTTTTGAGAGAATAAATTAGATTGCACCTGATAGCATGTCTATGTGCTTCACTGGAGTGACTAAATAAACATTATCCCTCCCCTCCTAATATGCATTACTTTTCAAAGCTTTTCCTACAAAAAAAAAAAAATTCATATTCCTCCTTCCCTGAAAAATGTGGGATAGTAGGATAACATAGAGCCAATATGGAAGCTGTCAACTCTTTAAGGCAGAGTGAAGAACCTAGGCTATGATAATTATACCTATAACTTTTAAATTTGAAAATACAAGCAAAATGTCCAGTTCACTTTGACTTTTGTATATGATTTTTATTCACAGTATAAATGGCCCAGCAGGCAAAGTTAAAGAATAATTTAACTGCTTCCATGGATCAAAACTACACTAGTTATGTTGAAGAAATAAGACCAGACAACTTGTACACAGCGATCCCCTCAGTAGTCTGCCCTAGTTGAAGCCTGTTACTTGATTGTTCTTTATGGTTGATGGCCCACTCAAGTGATATAGAAGTAGCTAAGTAGTAATTTCCTCTCACTAGCTATTATTATGAAGCTAGAGAACATGGTTAACATCTTTCTCAACTTTTTTCATCCATCTTCATTTGGTTATTTCTTTTAAAGCTGATTTGGTCTCCATGGAAAAGCAACAAAATCCTAAGCCCTTCAGGCCCTTTAAATTTTATACATCAAAAACTTTTCATTTCACTTTCCAGTCTTCTTCTCTCAACAAATATTTGTTAACTATTGTATGCTAAAGACACAATTGGGTTCCAAGCATAAAGGATTTTGGTTATTTACAAACGTTGTAAGATTAGTCACCAAAAAAGTATAATTAAATACAGAATTCACTCACAACTTATCTATTCAGAAAAGCAAAAATCCAAAACAAAATTTCCCAAAATAAAGCCCTTAATTACATAATTCTCCTAATGCTACCTGTTTTATAACATTTTTTCCTTTAAAAAAATGCTTTTTCTCTCTTGATATTAGTGTAAAATATTGATAACCAACTTTGTTTATGTTTTTTAACTGTGACAAATTACCTACCTCTTCATTTTTCTCTCCCTTCCCACAAATTCCAAATATGCTACTAACTCTCCTTAATAGGAGAACTCAATCCGTCTGTCACTAAGATCACCCACAGCAGGACTTGGCACACAGACCCACCCTAAGCCACTCATAGCTACTCTGGGTTGCTAGGGAAGTGAAGAGGAAGCAGTAAGAACGGACACGAATAGAGATTCGTTTGCAGGTTATAGACCAAACTCAAAGTTATTTACAATATTTCAGGTCTTAATGATTAGAAGATAAATCACAAAAATATTAATACAACTACACAGAATAATCTGCTGCCATTTGTGGCAAATGAATGATTTGCTGATTTGTTTTAAATCAACTTATACACTTTAATATAGTATTTTTCAAAAAAGATCACTAATGCTCACATTTAACCACTAAATTAATTTAAACAAGACTGCACTACCACTTTGGTGAAAATAATTAACTCCAAAATTAATTTTCTTAGTTGCCTCCAAATGCACCAGTTTTACATTTACATTTGAATTTACATTTCTTTCCCTGTCATGAATTTTAAGGGCTTCTAATTCACCACTAATTGTTTCAGTCTAATCAATATAAGCTTAAAAGAAAAGAGGAAAAAATAGTTTTAAAAAAAAGACTCTGAACATAAGAGAGTAAATTGAAACTTATATTCAGTGTATTTTTTAAAAGTTCCAAGTAATGGTTTGTCGTCGCCTCCCCCCTCCCGCCCCGCCCCCGGCTTTGCACACCCTCACCACCCCCCTTCCCTTCCACTTCATCCAGACAGAGGGTAACAGTCTGAGCTGCCCTGGTTGAGTTGATCCTAAAGTTAACATTCAGCAGCCCGTTTCCAGACAGCAGCGCTAAATCTATTTGGATAAAACGCGTGTGACCCAGACAGTTGGCATTTGGCCCAAACGCGTTGCACCAGCGGCTCAAATAAAAACAAGAGTAAGAAACTTACTCTCTTGTTCCCTCTCAGTGTGCTTTCTTACTCTGACTTGCTTTCTTTGCCTCTAGCACGAGTGGAAAACTTATCAAAGACAGAAATTGTAGCACAAATTGTCAGAAAGATTTTCCAATACTTCCTCCAGCACTCGTGTTCTCTCTCCCCAATCCCTAAATTTTAGTCTCATATATCACATATACAGACATGCCCTGATAAACAAGACTCCAGAGGGTTGAGTCTACCATGGCCCAAGTGAGCAAAAGTAAATAAAAACCACACGCTTTCATCTCTGATTAGCCTATTAAGAGCTTAGCATATCCTAGAGCATCAGTGCCACAGGCAGCACACTTCTGCTGGCCTGAGAGCACAGACATGAAATATGCACTTGTCTGAATGCTAAAGACACTGACATGAAACGGATTTGCAGAAGGCAATTGCATAAATCTGGAAATCGATTAAAAACACGCATCATCTTTACTTTCTCCACCACTATCCGGTGATTAGTTAAAAGACCACGATGATCATAATCAAGTCTACCTCACACAACATGTAAATTCATACAACCAGCGAGTATTTTTCACATCATAAAATACCTGTAAGCCCCGGAATTCTACATCCGCGAGAAGTCTAGAGTTTAAAAGATTTGTCTGTAAAATGAGTTCAGTCAAACTCACTCTTTGCCATAAAGCACACGCACGCACGCGCATACACACACACACACACACACACACACACACACACACACACAGAGAGAGAGAGAGAGAGAGAGAGAGAGAGAGAGAGAGAGAGAGAGAGAGAG